TCGTGGTCTTCGAGTTCCCAGAACTCCATTCCTGGGCATGATTTTGAATGCCCGGGGCCAGCTGCAGGCCACTTCGTGTTCTTCGAGTTCCCAGAATTCAACTCCCTGGCCACATTTTGAATGCTGAGGCAGGCTGATGCTGAGGCTTGAGCAGGCTGAGGCTGGTGCAGGCTGAGGCTGAGGCAGGCGGAGGCTGAGGCCGAGGCTGAAGGCAGGCTGATGCTGAGGCTGAAGCAGGCTGAGGCTGAGGCTGAGGCAGGCTGAGGCTGAGGCTGAGGCAGGCTGATGCTGAGGCAGGCTGAGGCTGAGGCTGATGCAGGCAGGCTGGCTGCAGGCTGAGGCTGAGGCCGAGGCTGAAGCAGACTGATGCTGAGGCAGGCTGAGGCTGAGGCTGAGGCAGGCTGAGGCTGAGGCAGGCTGAGGCTGAGGCCGAGGCTGAAGGCAGACTGAGGCTGAGGCTGAGGCAGGCGAGGCTGAGGCTGAGGCAGGCTGAGGCTGAGGCTGAGGCAGGCTGATGCTGAGGCAGGCTGAGGCTGAGGCTGAGGCTGATGCAGGCTGAGGCTGAGGCAGGCTGAGGCCGAGGCTGAAGGCAGACTGAGGCTGAGGCTGAAGCAGGCTGAGGCTGAGGCTGAGGCAGGCTGAGGCTGAGGCTGAGGCAGACTTAGGCTGAGGCTGTGACTGCGACTGCCGTTGCCGCTGCGACTGTCATCGCGAATGCGACTACGACTGCGAGAACAGCAGAATTCTGCAACTGGGTTCTCATTTGAATCTTAAGGGGAATGCTTCCAAATATGCTCCTACACATCGCTGTTAGGTTGCTTTGCCTGGATAATTTGTTACGTATTGTTTTTACGTATTGTTGTGCGTGTTGTTTCTACGCATTGTTATTACGTATTGTTTTTACGTATTGTTTTTACGTATTGTTTATGCGCATGGTTTTGCGTTTCGTTTTTGCGCATTGTTTTTTACACGTTATTTTTCCTCACGTTTCGTATTGTGTTTACATATTGTTTTTACGTATCGTTTTTTCTCACGGTTAGATTAAACCTTCGTACAAACACAATACGCGGGAGGATTTTTCGGATGAAGCGGAAGCCCAAAAATGATGCCACCGTTGCAGCGGGAGCAACATTTTGGAAAAACCGAACACGTTCGGATTGAAAAAACACATATGAAAACAAGTCCGGATAATTCGTCCGATTTCGGCTGAACCCTGTCCTTGGCGCGCCCCGCGCGCCAGGGTCGGGGTTCAGCTAAAATCCAGGAAATATGCCTCTGCCGAGGCCGATCGCCCTGCTGAGGGCGGCCGCGGCGAGGAGGCGGAGGGGGTTGGAGCTCTCGCCGCGGCTCTCCTGGGCCGCCTGCAGCAGCAGGCCAGGCCGTCCGTGGCGCCCCTGACGACGCCGGTCCAGAGGCTCGCCAGCGGGCCCTGGGGGGTGCATTCGAGGCTCGACTTCAAGGTTTCAGGTTTTTCGTCCGCTTTGGCCCCCGAGTGCGTTGTTTCGGCCCCGGGGCCATCGGGAACGGATTTGGGGCGAGGAGCTGCGTCGGATGGATCTCCTGAAGGGGCACACACATTGATTCTGAGTCTAGGTGCGCGACGCCTCAAGGGCAGTGCAGGGAGGAAGTGATACGGGGCAGGCTTTCCGAGGAGGCCGGGAGACTTCTGTGAAGCCCTCCCGCCTTCTCAGGAGTTTCCTAAGTTTAATTCCCAACCCTCCTGCGTTGGGTTCTCATTTTGAATACAGCACTGCTCGCGCGTCTCCTTCCTTACTTCCTTCCTTCCCGCCCCTCTCTTCCCCCCTGCCTTTTGCCTCGCTCGTCGCTGCATGCCAGCTGGGGGGCTGCGATATGCGAAACTGTCGCCACTTTCGAGGGCTGCTGGGGGGCCCAGCACAGAGGGTACACACTGCGGACTCAAACTGGACTTCGCCATCCCTGGGGGCTGTGATCTGTAAAACTGTCGCCACTTTCGAGGCTTGCTGGGGGGCCCAGCACAGTGGGTACACACGGCGGACTCAAATTGGACCTCGCCATCCCTGGGGGGCTGCGATCTGCGAAACTGTCGCCACTTTCGAGGGCTGCTGGGGGGCCCACCACAGGTGGGTACACACGGCGGATTCAAATTTGATCTCGCCATCCCTGGGGGGCTGCGATCTGCGAAACTGTCGCCACTTTCGAGGGCTGCTGGGGGGCCCACCACAGAGCGTACACACGGCGGACTCAAAGTGAACCTCGCCATCCCTGGGGGGCTGCGATCTGTCAAACTGTCGCCACTTTCGAGGCCTGCTGGGGGGCCCAGCACAGTGGGTACACACGGCGGACTCAAATGAGACCTCGCCATCCCTGGGGGGCTGCGATCTGTGAAGCTATCGCCACTTTCGAGGCCTGCTGGGGGGCCCAGCACAGTGGGTACACACGGCGGATTCACATGGGACCTCGCCATCCCTGGGGGGCTGCGATCTGCGAAACTGTCGCCACTTTCGAAGGTTGCTGGGGGGCAGCACAGAGGTACCCACGGCGGATTCACATTTGACCTCGCCATCCCTGGGGGGCTGCGATCTGTGAAACTGTCGCCACTTTCGAGGCCTGCTGGGGGGCCCAGCACAGTGGGCACCCACGGCGGATTCAAATTGGACCTCGCCATCCCTGGGGGGCTGCGATCTGTGAAACTGTCGCCACTTTCGAGGCCTGCTGGGGGGCCCAGCACAGTGACCCACGCGCGGATTCAAATGGGACCTCGCCATCCCTGGGGGGCTGCGATCTGTGAAACTGTCGCCACTTTCGAGGCCTGCTGGGGGGCCCAGCACAGTGGGTACCACGGCGGATTCAAATGGGACCTCGCCATCCCTGGGGGGCTGCGATCTGTGAAACTGTCGCCACTTTCGAGGCCTGCTGGGGGCCCAGCACAGTGGGTACACGGCGGATTCAAATGGGACCTCGCCATCCCTGGGGGGCTGCGATCTGTGAAACTGTCGCCACTTTCGAGGCTTGCTGGGGGGCCCAGCACAGTGGGCACCAACGGCGGATCCAAATGGGACCTCGCCAGCCCTGGGGTGGCTGCGATCTGCGAAACTGTCGCCACTTTCGAGGGCTGCTGGGGGGCCCGGCGCAGTGGGTACCCACGGCGGACTCAAAGTGGACCTCGCCATCCCTGCGGGGCTGCGATCTGTGAAACCGTCGCCACTTTCGAGGCCTGCTGGGGGGCCCAGCACAGTGGGTACACACGGCGGACTCAAATGGGACATCGCCATCCCTGGGGGGCTGCGATCTGTGAAAATGTCGCAACTTTCGCGGCCTGCTGGGGGGCCCAGCACAGCGACCCCACACGCAGATTCAAATCAGACCTCGCCATCCCTGGGGAGCTGCGATCTGTGAAACTGTCGCCATTTTCGAGGCCTGCTTGCGGGGCCCAGCACAGTGACGCCTCCCAAGTAGCTTACACATCAAGTTGATTGTCCATACAAGTTTCGGCCAACTCCTTGTTTCCATTGATACAAATGAGTTGGGTACGTCACAGGGTATTTTTTCTGAGATGGGGAGAGAACTTCGCAGAAGGTGATGAGATGATGAGATGATGATGAAGATGATGATGATGATGATGATGATGATGATGATGATGATGATGATGGTGGTGGTGGTGTTGCGACTGTGAGAGGACTGTGATGACGAGTGTAGAAAGAAGATGAGCGCAGAGGAGGGTCAGAAGGAGTTCCCTGCGTGGGGAAGTTCTGAGAACATCATAACCCCTCTTTGGATGCGAGGTGAAGCCAGACTCCTCTTTCGCCGTAGCTTGGCACAAGCTGCAGCCTGAAGACTGAAGTCCGACTACTTCGTCCTAGACTTCTACACGCTAGCGACGCAGACAGTCTCTTCCACGACGGACGAGATCTGGAGCTCCGAGATTGTTACATCCTCTTATGATTGCTCCTCCGTGTGTTGTTTCTTCCCTCGTCCTCCCTGTCCGTCTTGACATATTATTGGGCCATCATTCATACTCATGCTTTCGGTAGTCGGGTTGAAGGCCCGGGCATCACTGGAAGGGGGTGCTACACGAGGAGGAGGAGGAGGAGGAGGAAATTGAGGAGGATGAGGAGGAGGAGGGAGGAGGAGGAGGAGGAGGAGGAGGAGGAGGAGGACGAGGAGGACGAGGAGGAGGAGGATGAGGAGGAGGAGGAGGAGGAGGAGGACGTGGAGGACGAGGAGGAGGGAGGAGGAACATGAGGAGAGGAGGAGAGGAGGAGGGAGGAGGAGGAGGAGGAGGAGGAGAAGGGAGGAGGAGAAGGGAGGAGAAGGAGAAGGCCAAGGCATCTCAGGGGCCCTAGAGGGGCCCTCTGGGGCCCAAGAGGGGCCCCAGCCTGATGGCCCCCGAGGGCCTCCGGCCGCCGCGCCGCTCGGCCCCCGGCCGACGCCAGGCGGAGATGCAGAAGGCGTACAGCGTCTACGGGACGGAGCAGCTGGAGGCGGTCGCCCCCCCCTCCTCCTCCTCCTCCTCCTCCTCCTCCTCCTCCTTCTTCTCCTCCTCCTCCTCCTCCTCCTCCTCCTCCTCCTCCGCAGCAGCCATTTGGGCTCAAGCCAGTTTGGCTCAAGCCATTTGGCTCAAGCGATCGCACTGGCCGTGGCCGCCCGCACGCGCGGGATGGCACGGCCTAGAGGGGCCCCGACGGCTGCGGAGGACGGCGTCGCCTTGCTGGCGGCCGCCGTGACCGCGGCCGTGGAGGCCAAGGCGCCGCGGCGCACGGTGGTTGCGGTGGCGAGTGCTGTTGCGGCGGTCGCGCTTCGGGCGCGGACCGCGCCGACGGCGACGCCGCCCGTCGCCCGCTCCGAGGGTGCCGAGCAGGCTGACGCACCCCAGTATGCCAGTTCGGCCGCCAAGGCGGAGCGCCGCCGCCGCCGCCGCCAGCGCCTCTCGGCGCGCCGGGCGGAGGCGCGTGGCGCGGAGCCTGGCTGCTGAAGCTGGTCGCCCTGGAGTGGGCGCAGTTCCCCCCCTCGCCGTGGAGGTGGACGCGACGGCGGCCGCTGGCGGAGCGCGCGCGGGCCTTGTGCTCTCGCAGGCGCCTGGGGCGGCGCTTCGGGCCCCCTCCGACGGCGACGACGAGATGGACGAGGACCTGATCGACGATGCGTGGGCTGACGGTGGGCGGCCTGCCGTGGCGGTCGGGCCCCCCCGTGGCGGCGAGTGGGCCGACGCTGCGCTGGCGCCTGCGGCGGCCGCGGCGGCGGAGGCCCCCTCGGAGGCGGAGCTGGTGGAGGCCCGCGGGCGCTTCACGGAGCTCTCCCGCCGCCTCGGTTTCTCCGAGGCGGTGTCGCTGCCGCAGGACCTCGCGGAGCTGCTGGAGGCCGTTGCGGACAACTCCCGCCTCGCGGAAGCGTGGGAGAACATCGACGGCGAGCCGCCGCGTGCTGCCTGCCAGCCGGCGCTCCGGGGCGGCGCGGGGTGGCGGACGCGGGATTCTGTAGGGTCCCTGGGCCGCGTACGTTTCGGGCGCCGCCTCCCCATCCCTCCGCGCAACGTCGTGTTCCTCGGTGTGTACTCCATGCGCTTGGTCATTTGAGGCCGAGGGTGCCGCGCCTGTGCCCGGCGGGCGGTGGCGGCCTGCGCGACTGGCCGCCTCCAGGTCGTGGGCATCCTCCTCCTATTCCTCCTCCTCCCTCCGCCCCCTCCTCCTCCCCCCTCCTCCTCATCATCCTCCTCCTCCTCCCCTTCCTCCTCCTCCTCCTCCTCCCTCCTCCTCCTCCTCCTCCTCCTCCTCCTCTTCCCTCCTCCTCCCCCCCTCCTCCTCCTCCTGTTTCGGAAGTTTTCTAGGCCCAGGGTGGGTGTCATGAGCTGCGCTCGGGAGCCTTGAGACGCTGGTCAAACGGGGTCCGCCAAAGCGCCGGACTTGGAGGACTGCGAGCGCGCAGGATCCTGCAGGATATTGCAGGGTGTTTGCACCGACCCGGGTCAGATCCCCGCTGCGCCTCGTCGAGGGCGCTCTGGTGTGCCGGACTCGTCCGAACGGCCGCCGCGCAGCCGCGTTCTGAACCGAAAACCCAGGGGCGCCTTTAGGGGGCGCGGTGCGGATTCCGCTGCCTCGCCCTCGTTCTCGCCCTGTTGGGCCTCTTGGGAGGCCCTCGTCGCGCCGGCCGGGTACGTCTGGCAACTTTGGTCAGGGCGCACCTCGGGAGAAGTATGGGGGGCAGCGGCATCGGGGAATATCGGTTCCCAAGGGAGGGCCTTCAGGGGGTTGGGGGTCCAGGGCGGTTTCCATCTCGTCGAGAGCGTGCCGGGCGTGCCAGAATCGTTCCGAACGGCCGCCCCAGGCCCGAGCTGGGCCCCGAAAGCACACAGGCCCGTGGTCCTGCTCCTACCTCCCCTCCCCGCGGCTGGGAGCTCTTCGTCGTATCTGCCTCCTTCGCCCGTCTGTTCCTCCTCTTCTCCTCCTCTTTTCCTCCCGTCCTCCAATCCTCCTCCGCCTCCTCCTCTACCTCTTCGACCCAGTATCCCAGTATCCAGTATTTCAGTGTCGCAGGAGCTCCTCTTTTTGATATTTTTGATGCTTCGCGCATCCCCACCAGCGACGACGAGGCGGGCCAGGTCAACGAGGTCTTTGTTGCCATCTCCATCGGCCTCATGGTCGACTGTGGCGCCCACATCGTTTTCGCGGGCGATCCCAAGCAGCTTCCGCCAACAGTACAGACCCGGTGCGCACGATTTTTGGGGCTACAAGTTTCCATTTTTTCTGGAAAATTCAAGAGTCACTGGACGTGGACAGCCTGCCGCAGCATTTCTCACAGGGTGCTTCAGGTGCCACCCCGACGTCCTTGGCTTCTCCAGGTTCGCTTCGTACTACGACAAGAAAATAGTGTCAGGCCTCGTCACACCACTACAAGACCGTCCCACTGTCAACGGGCTTCCGTAGGTCAATCACCGCCCACTGGACAACGAACGACTGGAGCCTGTCGCCAAACAACTGGGCAAAGGCGTTGACGAATTCAGGGGCGATATCAACGACCTACACACCGAGGGGATAATGCCTGGATACGTCCACCGCGTGCTCATGATCGACAGTCCACATGCGGACATCACCTCCAATGCCAAGAGCGGCTACGTCAACCTCCACGAGGCTGCCACATGCCTTGAAGTAGTTCGCGCTTGGCCCCACCATGCTGAGTTCTGGATGAACAGACGAACTGATCGCTCCCTACGGTGTATAGCGGACCGCACTGTAAGGCGGGTGGCAGCAAGGCAAGAGTGGTTTTTGGAAGAACCCCGCGCTTGTTGAGTCGAAACAGGGTAGGAACAACCAAGGCAGCACAGCGGATTCAAAGCCAAATCCACCGGGTCAGTCAACCACTCCTTTCTCCCCATGCTATTCCCAACCACGCGCGGTTAGCGCGCGCACCCGCTCTGCTCTTCTTGCCCGCGCTTCCGGCCTGGGCGCTGACTGCCCACTCGGTGGTCCCCCGACAGCCGACAACGGTCTGGCACTTTCGTTCAAGGGATTGGCCGAAACGTCCCCTGACCTGATGGAGACTGGTCAGCTCTCCCTCTCCATTATTGCGCCAATCAGGGAGGAGAAGCTGACATTGTCATCTACCTTACCACGCGCTCCAACGGGTCCTACGATTGAGGTTTACTTGATACGCCAAACAGGACCAACGTCGCCCTGACCAGAGTTAAACGTTGCGTGGTCTTCATCGGAGACCGGGGGATGTTCAAGGCTGCGACCGAATCTGGACTTCGGACCCTCGCCGAATGCGGCATGGCCGAAGACGTCTGGTGAGCCCTGGGAGGAGCGCAACAGGGAATGGAAACCCTTTCGCCCACTAGCTCACTGGGACGCAACTGCTGAAATTGGGACCGCCAAGCCGCCCGCCATTGGGAACCCATCCGCAACGACACCGGGCGCTGCACCCAGCACCCAGAAGCAGAAGGTTAAAGTGCGAGGGGATCAGGCCAAAGGTTTCGTCTACAGCACCGACAGGCCGCTACCATAAGGGTTTGAATTGGGAACCCTTGCGAAGCAGCTCATCATTTCGCTGAGAGCGCTCCTGGCCTCACCCTCTCTCTTTCCTGTCCTCTACCTTGTTTCTGGCCTTCGCCCGCGCGCCCTCAGCCCTGCGCAGCGCCCTAACGATCCCAACCTTTGCGACAGGAAGGCGTGGAACCACAAAGGGTTCATTTATGATGTTACGGTTGGAACTGATGCCGGCAATCTGACGTGCAACATTCTCTGGGCGTGCATGATGCGCGCGGTCGGGCTTGGCCGCAAGTGGGGCGATGGCAGCGCCTCGCCCCCGGTGGCCAACCTGCCTGAACGACCAAAAGCCTGCCTACAGAAGCGCGCATCCAAGGACTGCTGGGGCTCGCCAGCAAGCATGGGCAAGCAGCTACCCACAGTATGGATTGCCACGACGACACAGTGTCCAATGCGCCAACTTCATGCAGCGATAGACGGCCTGGAAAACATCATCAAAGGCGACTGCGTGCCAACTGGCCCCGCCGCGCGGGCTCAGACCTGCGCGGCCCTCGCGATGATGGTGCTAGCGCTTCGGGGGCCAAGGACTTGCCTCTTCCCGTTCCCCGAGCAAGAGGGGGCAGGGGATATCGTGGAGGCCGTCCTGGGCATATGCAATCTGGCAGCTCTACTGGCGCCGCAGCCGTTGCAAGGGGCCTCGATTTCCGGATTCCGTTTGGGCTGACATAGTAGTTTTCCAATCGCGGCTGCCAGAACCTGCATCGGAGATTCACCGACGCGCTAAGACACGCGAGCGCGCTTGCAAGGATCAGCCACCACCGCGATGTCTGTCGAACAAACAGGATATCCGTCAACGCTGGAAGAATGCAAGCGCTCTGACTTTCACATCAACTGGACCCTGCTAGTGATCGACCAGCTCATCGAAGCGCTCCAATTACCGCCGGCTCCTACGGATGACCAGCCTGACAACGAGACAACCAGCTGCACCATCGGCTGGCTCTTACAAACCCATCACAGGAAATCGCAAGCGTCTGGGGCGCACGCCGGGCCAGAAGCTGCACGACGCGGGCGCAGGGCGAGCGATGGACCCGAAGGAACCTCTCAGACCTGGACCCCCTAAAGCGAAACTTGGCGCCACAATGACACAGAGAAAGCTTCGAACAGGAGACGGGCGCTTCTCGCCGTCGCAGAACACTGCCAGCTTTCTATTGCGTCGAGTGTCAGAGAGGCCCCATCCACAAACATCGACGGCACCTGGGAAGACAACGATATGCGTCAACGTCTAGCATGGTTTGCAGGGTGGCGCGAGGGACTCAACTGCCGCTGCCTGCGCACCTGGGCGCTGGGTGGAGAGCCTCGAGAAACAAGGTGCCGATGCCCCCGCAGGCGACTCGATGCGCGAAAAGCTGGCCAGCTTCCGGAATAGCATGCCCAGCAGGACCACCGCCTTTAGTCTGACACCGCCTGTGCACCTCCCGACCGGGCATGCCAAAATTGCAAACCCAACCGCCGACTGCCTGCTACGCGACCTCCTTCTCACACTTGACTCGGCCAGCGACCCCAGGGTGACAGGCGCGCCAAACCCCCCGAGGCGACCCGGCGACGACCGCTTCGGTACAGAGGGACTGAGGTCTGGGGTCTACAGTGCTACCTGCGACGGCTGCCCAGAGCCCGAGCTGCCATGCGCCTGGAAACGCGGGCAGCCATCGGTCGGATGCTTCGTCTGGCGACCAACTCCTGGCAGGGAGGACGCCGAGCAGTGCGACCTACCCCCCCGGGGCAACTGGATCGACAGCTGGACGAGTGGCGAATGGAACGCTGGGTGGTGCCGCGGGAATTGTCTTTCTCACATCATTGACGCTCCATCCGCCATCAACCGCATCCGCGCGCGGCGCGCCATTGATGATTCCGGACTCCACCGCGGCACGGACGTCGAAGCAGCGAAAAGAGGACGCGGGGGGCCTCGCCCTAGTACTTGGCAAAAGAAGAGCGCGCGCACCGCGCGGCGACGACGGCGAGGGGCGCCGGGCACCATCTGAGACGTCGCCACTACCCGTGCCGAGTCCAGAATCAGTTGACGCAACCGAGGAAATTCTTCCGAACATCAAGACCCCGCAACTGCCAGACGTGGCCAACACCAGGCTCGATCTTCTCTCCCAGGCATGGACTGACGACAACAGTGGCGCGCAGGGGCGCACCCCAGTTCAAATGTGCCTGCACCTCAGTTGTATCAACGCAGTTGCCAACGGCATCTTCTACGCGCTTGCGAACCAGTACGAGGTGCCAGACAGAGGGTTGGACGTCAACTGGCGCACCGCTCTGGCCTGCTCCACCCTGGCCCGGGCGCCCCCTCCGACGGGACTCACCACGGACGGATTTGTGCCAGGCGCGGAATGGGATGGTAAAAGATGGGCCGCTGGACTGGTCGCGCAACGCCCCATCGGGAAGGGCGATCGGCAAAAGAAACTGCGGGTGG